CCTACCCCCACACTTAGCTCTTACTCTAAGTTCACATTCCAGGCTCTTGACACATGCAGTATGTATGATAGCCATGTTTCAACTAGTTCTAGTCTTGGGTAGCTGAGCATTTCTTTTAATTGATGACTCAGTGGTGATAAGGCAGCACTTCCTTATATATTGTCAAAAATCTAAAAAGGTCTTTAGGCAATAGCTCTAAAACCTTAACTATTTTACTTACACGGTAGATTTTTATACAATGTCAGATTTCCTTTCGGCTGAACAAATACGTCTAATGGCAAGAACTAAAGCAGGTGGACTGGTAAAATAGCTGGGAGAGATCTGGCTTAGGAAATATGTAATTTCCTCCTCTTCCTTTTTTATTCTGTCAGCATTTGATTAAAAAAAAAAAAAGAGAGAGAGGGGGAAAGGAGAGAAAGGGAGTTGGTTATCTGTCAGTTTCAACGACTGAATCTATTTTTGTTTAAAACTTTATCAGTTTTGATCTGAGGAAAAGATAAATATATTTCTGTTCCTAAGTTGTCCTCATGCATCATGGTTATCATCTGATAAACCCACTTTACAATCTATTGTCTTTGGGAACAGATTATAGTATTTTCTCCAGATAGAATCTTTCTGGTCTCATAAGATTCTGCATAGATGCACACAACAGCCTGACTTCAGTGTAGAAATAGGATGTCCTGAAAACCCCCAGTGCATGTCATTCGTTGAGGTACTTATGGGAAAACCTAGAAGTGACTACTTAGTTCTCTTTCATCCTCTGGATATGTGTCATAAGGGGAGCTATTAAAGAACCCCAAAGTGGAGTCACAGAAGATTTTAGTGCAAGGGTGATGGGAGAGGTGACTATAAGCTATACCAGCTAAGTCTGCAGTATAAATCATTGCTCGTGATTTTTTTCATTATGAATAAACACATCCTTTTGGTGAAATCACTGTGAAATATGAGAGCGTTACACATGCAATAATATAAACGCATTAAAATATTTTCTCTCCCTTCTTTGCTCCGCTTGTCCTGTGAGACAGTGCAGTGCAGTTGTGTTTCTCACAGAGGCCCAGTCCTGCTTTTGCTGCTGCTGTTTGCTCATTGTCTTCCCACCAAGCTGGGACATGCCACAAATCTTCTGAGATCTGCCACAGCGAAACCCCTGCCGGATGCCGGAGCTACGAGGGCAGCCATAAAAGCAAGACAAAAAACGAGTTTATAGAAATTCTTCTTGAAAGAGAATAAGGCCGAGTAGCATCGCAAACAAAGGGACCCAAGGGATTTGTTAGGAGTCCTTCACCTTAGGTAACTGTGCCCAGGAACAAATGCGTGAGGTACTGTGGCCACCTGGGCCTAAGCCCTGCTGACTACCTTCCCCCTTTTAACTCAGTCTCCTTTGCTTCTAATGGAAAGAAAAATCGCTCTTTGTCGTTACAGGGGCAGCAAGGATTCTATGAAGAAGCTTTTTGCGTATATTTTCCATTTCTCCTGCAGCGGTTGTTGTTAAGTCATAAATTTATCACAGCAGGAGCTTGCCTTGTTCATGATATTATATCATAGTGACTTAGAGAGATGGAAAGAAAATCACATCTGTGCAGTGCCAATTTCCAACTGAAATCTCATCAGTTTATCCAAGCATCTTTGTTTTTAAATCTCTCCCAAGAGAGAGTCGCAGGTTTTGGAAATTATGGGTACATTCTTCCACTGTTCTCCTTTCACAGATACATCTAAGGCTCCTTAGACCACGAGACAGTACCTTGTAGGGCGATAGCATGGCTGGCTGAGCTCCCCACTGTAACTTTGCTGTCCAGATCAGAGATGGAAGACTTAGCTAGCATCGGTAATACTGATTCTCCTACTTTTAGTAAAACAACAATCATAAATTATTGGTAGTTCTGCCATTTTTTTTTCAATAGCTTTGCTATTGATTTGGTATTTGCATCTTCTGCTTTTGTTTTCCTTCATTAGACTTATTTATTTATCTAGTCTCACATTTCTATTTTGTCACAGTCTGGTGTTATACTTAAGTGTGCGGTGAGGTGTTTCATTTCCACATGTTTAAAACTGGTTTTGAAGAGTTTATGATACATTTCTGTCTCTATATAAAAAATGATTCCAGGTATGTTGCGGTGCTCTAGCACTATCTTTGTTTTTTTCCAGAAATGGATTTGGAATAATCTAAGTTGCAGATATTTTTGTGTCCATGTGACAGTGGCATGATCAGTAAAGCTGCTCAAGTTTAAACATGAAAATAATCTGTATGTTGCCTTAAAAATACATGTTTTTTTTTCTTCAAGATAAGCTAGCTCAAGCATAGGAGAGGTCCACACTGTAGTGGTAATGGGCTTTCTCTAGCTTTGAAATAACATTAGTGCCTGTGAACCAAGTAAAAAATATTGAAGGATATAGTTTCTTATTGTGGACTAAGTTATCCATTCTCTGGAGAAGAATGGAAAGACACATAAGAAATGAGAATGCAAGAAAACCAAGAAGCAAACCTTGCAAGGTTCCTGCAAAATGCTTTATTTAAGGAGAAGGATGGTCTCTCTTCAGTTTCACTGTGTATTTAATACGCTCCCTGTTCAAGTACCTGAACTTCAGGATGTGTGAGGACAGTAATATGCACTTGGGTACAGCTACAGAGAAAGATGAAGATGGTGTTTCTGCCTTGTATCACTTGCTCTTTCTCTTCATGAGCCCATGAGCTTTCTGCCCAAAGGCCTTTTTTATTTTCTTATTTTTCCTAAGTGTCTCCCAAAGAATTGGGAGAGTTGGAAGTGGTGATCTGATAGGCAAGTAAAAGAAACTAATAGTTATAAAATTATATTTCCAATAAATCTCAGAAAAATTGAGAAAATAATCTTATGTCAAAGTATATGAAGCTGTCTGGTTTCTGGCCCTATGTAACAGGAATATCCATGAGAATTGTATTGTTCTAGTAAAGGCAATGTTGCGTAATTGCAGGTGTGGGGCCTTGCATCTCACACTTACAAGTCTTCTTCCCTGAAAATCCACATTTAAATATTGCTTATGGATATTCTTTTCTCTGTAGATACTGTTGTTAGCAGTGATCCTAAATTACGCTATGGCTTGGGACTCAACAACATAGTACAAAGCATTATGGAGGAGAATTAAATCACGGTTTAGATCCTTCTATATTGACAAAGTCAACTTGTTTTTTAGCGAGACTGGAAAATTTGCCCAGGTCCCCCCAAACCGTAATTTTTACAGTTTAGGCAGGCCTGACTTCTGTGACTCAACCAACCATGTTTTTTTAATTAGATCACATCCTAAAGGAAAAACGTTACTAAAACATCTGAAAATATAAAATTGAAAATGTTTCGGGCTTTTCTAGGAATTTTTTTTAATATATGAAACCATCCAACTAAAATACAAAAATTGCAGTATCGCTTGTGAAGCTTGCTGTAACAACAACAAAAAAAAGAGACTTGACCATAGTTCACGAGCCGCTAGACCTCTGCCTTTTGGGAAAGGTGTATTAATGATTTTCTTGAGAAATGCTTGGCATCCAGGGTGCTTCTGAAATTCATTAAGAGCCTCAAGATGAAATATTTTATTTCTGTGTCTGTCTGGTCTGTGCTGCTTGTAAGTATTGTTTAGGGAGAGTAAGGTGGGAGCATCTGTAATGCAGCTGCTGTGCAGACAGATCAGTGCCTCTGCTGTAGACAAAACAGCTGGCACAATTGCTTTAACTTACTTGTTTATGAAATATGAGGGCTTTATGTTCTGTTTGAAGTGGGAAGATTTTCTTCATTTTTCCTGAGATTTTCAGAAAAATGTTTTCCCAGAGGGCATTTCATAAACTAGGCTGGACAACTCACTGGCAACCTTTTTATTTCTATGACAGGAAGGAGGAGGTGCTTTTCTTTCTGTGCAGCACGTCTTATTTAGGGATGGTTACATTTGTTATGAAAGTGTTTATGAACAGTTTTCACAAAGATGTCCTAGTATATTTGCCAGGGCTTGAAGAATTTATGAAAAAGTGTGGAGAGAGCAAAATATTTGCTTTTTAGACAATTTAAAATTTTATTTTCCTAATTTTACTAGCTATTATCTTTAATACTTTTTTTTTTCTTCCACTGTTAGAAGAGGAGTCAAATATATCTGCTCCTAAATCAAGAAAAAAGGGTTTGCTAATGAGCTTAATTTAGAATTAATGTTTCCTCAGTCTCATTTCTTTTAGGGTTTTTTAAGGCTTTGAAAAAGTAAGTACAATGAAAACATAGCTTTTTTTTTTTTTTTTGTCTTCTAGAGCTCAAAACTGGTATTTTCAATTATTGGTATTTACTCTCCCATTTCTCTGCCTTAGCTATTTGTTATTTAAACAAAGGCTGACAGCAAAGCTCACTCTCTAATATGTAAATCCTTATGGGGAAATAGTGCCAAAAGACTGTGAAAAAATGGGTCCAGGCAGCTGCGTCACAAGGTTTGACCACTTCGGGCTGGGGTGCCAGGAGATTTGAGACAGATGTTTTCAGACATGCCGCATGCCTAAAACATTTCCAGGGGTCGAGCTACAAATAGTGACTTAATAAGTGCAGAAACAGGAAAAGTATGCAGGAGGACACAAGAGTTTATTCACCCCTAGGTGCACAGCCAGCCTCTTTACATTACATCTGCCTGTCAGGGTTGGCTATTTAAGCTGTCATGCCCTTGGTATTGCGCTTTGTCTGACTGTGAATAAAGTGCAGCATTGTGATTACTAATCCCACTCCAGTGACTTGACTTTAAATGTGGTTTTGGAGCGTATCCCGGAGTTCTGTTTGCTAAGCTTCCTACTCCTGTTTCAGAGACACCACTGGAGATCTATGAGAGAGAGCACTGCAGCCTGCCCTCCTCCTGTAGACCTGTCGCCTTTTTCTACACCCCCTCTTCTTCTTTAAAAAAGAAAAGGAAAAAAAAAAAAAAAAAGAGACAGCAACTTTTTAGAGGGAAATCAATGGATGCCAAAGTGATCTGTTTGTTTTTCTTTTTTTCTTTGCCCCCGCTGACAGTGGGAAACCACACCGGCCGCATCAAGGTGGTCTTTACACCCAGCATCTGTAAAGTGACTTGTACCAAGGGCAACTGTCAGAACAACTGTGAGAAGGGAAATACCACCACCCTCATTAGCGAGAACGGCCACGCTGCTGACACGCTGACAGCCACCAACTTCCGAGTAGGTAAGTACCCTGAAACTGTGTTTGTCCTTAGCTGTCCTCTCCCGACTAACAGAGGGAGGAGATATTTAGTTATTAATACCAGTTGTGCATCTGTTACTCTTTGTTTGGAGGGCTGTGCCGAGTAGGAACCATTGTGTGCTAGACTCGCTCGCTGGGATCCTTCTGAAATGTTCCCAAAAGTTCCTTTTGTGCCGGAGGGGGGAAATAAAAAAATGTACTTTTCATCTGAGGCTTCAGCTGCAGGGCTGAAATGTGCTAAGTTGAAGCTTTTGGTAGAATTTGCCCCTCAGAGTTTGTGCTGATAAACAGGGAAAATGACAGATTCAGTGTTTTCCCTTTTTATTTCCTGAATCGATATGAAATGCACACAAAATCCAGTTAATAGAGTGAAACTGTCTACTGAAATTTGTTCAGGAGATGCTTAGGATTACAGTCCTATTTAAAAAGTTCATATGAGTTTATAACTTAGATGTATTTACTGCTGTGAATAAATCAGATTTCATATTTGTCATTTTTTGAAACTGAAATAATGTGAAGTCTAAGCAAAAGTATTGAAGCTTGTCATTTCACTGCTAAGGCTTTTCTCAGTGAGAGTATTAACAATATGCTAGTCTAAACTCTGTAACTATTTGATCAGGTTGAAACAAGTCCTGAAGGTTGTCTGGGATAATAGATTGGAGTATTTTAACTGTACAGTATATGATGGTGGTGGGAACTTGTGTGCAAATACTAGTCCTGTAAGCTAGGAGAGATGCAGCTGTGTCGAGACAGATGTGCAAACACTTCAATTTTGTTGTTTCACAATATCATGCTGTTAACTGCTCACTGAAAGTATTTTCGCAGTGAGTATGAAAATGTCGTAGTATCTTTTTTAACGAAAATTTAAAATTATTTTACTGATGTGCACTTAAAGAATGCCAGATATGAATGTTGTAATTTTAGTCTCCTTCTAATATAAACACAATGTCAGGCAGTGCTGATGCTGGCCAATACTGCCGTTTTCAAAGTGCACTGTATTTCAGGCTCTGAAGGAGAAAAAAGCTATTCCAAATTATTCTTCTTTCCATCCAGGCAGACGATACAAACAGCAGTCTCTTTCTTAGGATTCCTATTAGCCTGTCAGGCTAGAGATGAAAGTTCCTGAAATGTATAGCACTTGCCCTGATAATATACATATTTGTATAATATATGTGTTTTAGAGTAATGATAATAACAGCAGGGTTTTAAAATAGCAGTATAGCACATATTTTGGTATTGTCTGTTTGTTTTGAGGCATTTTAAAAAAAAGGATTTTATAAAGGGACAGTAACTAACATTTTATACTTCTTTTTACTCTTAATATGGAAAACCACGGCTAAGTACGGTATTGTCTGTTTGTTTTGAGGCATTTAAAAAAAATGATTTTATAAAGGGATAGTAACTAACATTTTATACTTCTCTTTACTCTTAATATGGAAAACCACAGATAAGTATATTTTACTATATGTTTTCTAACTGCTGTAAAATGATAGGGGTGTTTTTTTTCACTTGACCTTTTTTTTCTCTCTTTTTTTTAATTATAAAATGTTGAGAATGGGCAATCATGTAGTTGGTCTGCTTTGTAAATCTGTGCCGTAACCTGATCTCCTCTCAAATGCTTAAACTTAGATGCTGGTGATTGACCTGTTAAGACATGTTATGCACCCTCCTTCCTGGCCTCAGGCCATGTAGTTTGTGATTCACCCTGCACTCTAGACTGCTAGAAATATTCAACACGAGCAGTTGATAATTATATTCGATAAAAACCAGGAGAGCTTTATGTTCCAAAAGGTGGAATAGCAAGTCACTTTGCAAATATAGACATTTTTAGCCTGTTTGTGTGGCTGTCATCTCCAGAAGCATTCACACTGGCTCGGGGTAGGATCATTTTCACAGAAGAGGTATAGGAAACAAATCTAAACTGTGGCTTCCAGGTTCTCCAATTGCAGATAAAAATACTTAGGGAACTTTATGTCTTTGTATTCAGAGAGGAGAGATCCCCCCAGCAAGAGAGCTTTCGTTGCTCCCTGTTTTCCAGGAGCTCTTGATTCAGGGTTTAAAACACCCACTATTTTAATGATTTTTATTTTTGTTCTCCAGTTAATGTCTCTCATTAGCTCAGGCTTTCCTGATGTCTCCTTAAAGCAGATCCATAAAGCAGAAATAATTTGGGTCTTCTGAGATCATTTGTTTTTCTTGTATTTTTAACATCTGTGTTATATTTTGTTTGTGCTTTTTGCTCTTAAGGTCCTATTCTAAACTTGCTTTTTTTACTGTTTTTCCAAAATACATGAAAATTCTTCTAGTGACCATTTGACATTAAAAAGTACAACCATAAAACAGAATGTTGTGTCAGAAACTATATATTTAAAACAGGAGTGAACAGAAATTCTTCACTATGTTTTAAAAAGTACTTGTTCTTAAAAGCAGAAAGGATAAATTCACATGCCCTATTTGGAAAACTACCTCCTATTACTAATAATATACGCCTACTGTGAGTGGGAAATTAGGAAACTGATGTAGATTGTGGCTAGGTCTGAATGTATTTCCTTAGCACAAGCAGTAGCCTAGTACACTATTATTTAATTTAGATTTTCTGAGAGTGGATCGCAGTTAACGGTCCCTCTGTTGTGTTTTTAGTCACTGTTTCTAATAATGAACAAAATAATTTATGTTGCTCTTTAAAACATTTTGCTGAGCTCTGTAAACATTTTTTTCAGAGAGCCTTTGCTGTGATGCCTGTATTGAAGCTGCTTGAGTTTTTCCATACGTTACTTCAGATTCTTAAATTTGCTCCGTTGGTCATGTCAGCTGAAACTTGGTAGCAGTGAATTCAGACGAGGAACAATTCTTGGTTTCCTGAAGGTTTTATTAGATATGGATAAGCCATTAAAAATGAAAAACAGCAACAAGAAACAGACTGGGGAGAGCATAACTTTTCAGGTAGCTAGGATTTTGCCAGATCTCATAAAGAGCTCCAGCACTTCAACCACAAGTGATGAAAACTTGGTATTTAAAAGGGAAGGATCCCCTTGATTGCCAGTGTGCTTCAGTGAAACTCTGTATTTCACGGTTTCATTTTGTGAATGGGGTATGTTGCACAGCTAAGCTAACTGACATCCAGTATTTCATTGGCTTGGAATGAAAGCATTTAATCTGAGTGGAAACTTCTGCTGAATAGATGATTCTCATTATTCTATTGGATTGGGTGCAGGTTGTATGGGACTGCAGCGCTGAGAGGCTTGTGTAACAGTCTGTATATGTGCATAGGAAGGGGAGCATATAGAATAACGTTCGAGGGTCCTGGGTCATTCTCTGTGGAAGTTACATGCCCAAATTAATATTTTCCATAGTCTTTAATTTTTGTCCTATTAACATATGCTTTTAATTATAGGTTTACTTTTTTTTTTTTCCCCCCCTACAGGATTCCTGTCTCATTCATTGCACAGGAATAATGGAACGTAGTAAAGGAAGCAGTCAGCTAATACTGAGGTTTATATCCACTGTTAATTTGCAGCCCAGTGTCTTATTTTAAAGCAGTCCATTCAAACTCTTACAAATGATGAGTTAAAAAGAATTGCATGCTTTCGAATGGAAATGCAAATATTTCCATTTAAGTTTGTGCCTGATCATTTGGCCGTATCCCTGTCAAAACAGCAAAATAACAGCACTCTGCAGATGGAGAAGCAGTAGAGTTTAAGGATTAGTTTTCCCCCCCAAGATCATAGATGATGATTGTGGCAAAGCTGGCAATAGAATTATTGCTCTCCTAGTCCATTTTGTATCACTCTGTATCATTCCTTGGTATCTCTCCCTCATTTTAACGCTCCCTTCGCCTTCTTTCCTGGTATCTTCATGATTGTCCTTCCTCCTGCTCTCCCTGCGTCAGCCATAGTTAGTCAAGATCAGATGATGAGAGACTTTTTTGTGTGTGTGCTTCTCCTGGGAAGATGATAGAGATTTTTTTTTTCCTTTGTTTCATTGAATATAATAGAAAATCAAAAAGCATTTTCCTTACAGCTTCACTGATCCCTGTAAAGAATGTGCTCTAGTTATGGACTTGGAAATGATATCAGATTTCTGCACTGGGGCCTGCAGTCCATGTGAGCCCTTCTTTCTTGCAAAGTTAAAGGAGAATGAGAAGATCAGTTGGTGCTGTTATGCTCCAGGTGAAAGGCATTTCAGTCTATTTTAGAGCATTCTCAGCATGGATCACAAGAATCTGCATATACTGTGCCCTACTGCAATAATGCACAAATATTTATGTTGTCAGCAAGTGATACCTTTAAAACAACCTACTTCCTTTTTGTAATGGCAAATAATGATTAAACCTATAGAATTCTGGAACTTCCCTTTTTAGAAGTATTGAAGATTTTTCCTGTGTTACTCTGTCAATTCTGTAAAATGCTCTTGCATAACTGAAGCTGTCCAAAGTTTCCAGTTGTGTATAGACAGCAATTTCCAAGGAGAAGCGTAAACATTTTGCTCACATTTTATTTGGTCTTGTGTTGAAAGTAGTGGCAGAAAATGTGACTAACATTTTAAAACAGTGGGTTGATTGGAGGGAGTTTAGTAAGAGGAATTGGTGTGTAATTACTGTTTCATAGAATTCCCTATCTAGGAACCAATCTAGGGAGAGTAGTTTCACTTAAGGCATCTATTTTATCCAAAGTTGATTGAATTTTCTTCAGACTTATATGAACATGGATTTCTATCACTGCTTCACAAGTTAATCTTTCTTCAAATGTTTCTTGTCCTGTCAAATGATTGTGAAAACCTCTTGGTGTTGGTTTAAAAAATGGCAGTACTCTGTAAGCAAGCCAAAGCTTTTCCAACTGTAGTTTGTGTATGACAGGAGATCCAAGAGCAATAAATGGCATTTAACTTTTTTTTTTTTTTTTTTTTTAAAAAAAGGGGGTATTGCTGTAATGCTTGGTGTTGGCATAACAAAAATAAAAGGAACACCTAATTTCCTTGCTAAG